GAAATACACATAAAGCAGTGCTTGAGTGCATGAGAAAGCCAAGGAAAGAAAATGGACCGTAGATAAAGATCTGATTCAAGCATTTGTTGCCTCTTCAAGCACTACTATTCTGCAGGGCTAGTCTGTAGCCAGTTCAAAGGTCCTTGAAAACAACTTCAGTAGGAAGGTGAGATAATGTAAAATACTCCTTACCAAAGGAAAGATGAGAACATGTTTCAGACAAGAGGTTCCGTTGCATCCTCCCTGTCAGTATATACAATGTGATGGCATTCCCCACAGATAGAAGCAGAGGTTGGTAGAGACAATTACAAAGGGTGGTTGTGTTCCAGAATTTTAGATGACCTCTGCTTCCTGACCAGCAAGAGGAAAGCATCTTGCTGAACCAAACACTGCTGTTATAATTCTAGACTAGATTAGCAGGAGTAGCGAAGTAATGTGGCTTTTAAGAATGTAGACTATATTTAAGTTTCAGTGAGAGAGAATAAAAAGAACATTATTTTTACACACAGAAAACACACCTCCATATGCCTAATAAACCTGTCCCATGCAGCTAAGAGCCTTTAAGACTTGAAAGAAAAAGGTGTTGCGATAATTCTTGCCACGTTCTCTAGAAAGGCGTGGTTAGATTTTAATCCTTAGGTGTGAGGGAAACTCAAGTCCATAATGAGTCTCCAATAAGGGCAAATGCAAACCTGTTTCAATCTAACCATTGAGGATTTATAACAGAGGAGACTCTCAAGCAGCGAACAGAGTCCAACAGCGTGATTGCCTCCTGGGTGCATCAGCACCACGGGCTGGTCTGTCTGTAAGTCAGCATGTGCCTCACACCAGGACCAGCTTCCGAGCACAGCAGCCCACTCGGTGTTTTATTTACCTGAAGGATCAGCGATACCATTAGAGGGTGTATTACATGGAAGTCCTTTGCCATTCTTTGCAGTAGCATTGGTTGTAGCTGGAGTTAGGGGAATCATTAACAATCTGAAATGTTGTTTAAAAAAGCAGTTTTCGAAGTGTTTTAAAGGCCCCTACTGATCTCCACTGATTCTCCCATTTATGCAGAAAAAATGATGCTTTTGTTGAAGCGTCACATCGGAGAGGTTCAGGCCTGCCTCGAGAATTTCCTTACCCACCAAGAGATCCGCTTTCAGCAGCTGGGCATCTCTACCTTCTGCAGACTGCGAGAAGGTATGTCCTTCCCGCTGGGCCGAGCCCCCAGCAGCAAAGAGGCTCTGCTTCGTAACAGAAATGGCAGCGCCCTGCAACTTCCTCTGGGGATTGGCTCTGCTCACCCAAGCAACAGAATAACCTCAAATGTGGCTGTTACCTTACCTGTTTTTCATCAACTGTCTTCTAAAGGCAGGGGGGGGTTTTGTTTGTTTGTTTTAAAACTAAAGGCTTTCTGATCAGCAGGGAAACAGACTTCAGCTGTAGATGGTTTTATCCAATATAAGAATGTATGGCGCTAGACCTAACCTAAAAACTTTTCAAATATGAATTTAGCTTGTTTTGATAAAGCGAGCAAAAAAGAAAAAATTCCCAGCATTACGAGCTGGGAAGTCTCACATCTTTTTCATAATTTAAATTCTGTTCCTTGCCTTTTTTTTTTTTTTTCCATTTGTGGTTAGTTTTTTTGGTTTTAGGTAGAAGTTGTGTACAGATGACAGTTATAATATAGTAATAAATGTAAATAGTGTGTATCTTCACATATGTAGAGCCAGAGCGAGACCTTGCTATGTTTTGATACCCACCTGTTGCCTAAGGCTGAACTTGGTAACTGGGCTTTAGACATCTCAATCAGGAGAATTTAACAGCAAACAATCCTGAATGGTCATAGGGATGAAAACTGAATTTGTGTTTGCTTTGCGTGGGAGAAGAATATTGCTCTGCCTTCTCTATGCGTTACACTGTAATAAGAACCATCAACTGTATCTAACCTGATACAACTTTCTAAGCATATGCATTAAAACACAGGGAAAACCAGCAGGATGCCTAACACTTGTTTTTCCTTTTCAGATCCAGACTTTTCATTAGCATTCCGAAAAAAACAAACGGCCAAACTCCTTGAGCAAGTCCGTCAACAAACAGAAGAAACCCAAGAGCTCCTTAGGGCAGCTCTTTGCCATGAAGACAGTTAATATTAAAGCCAGATGGCTTATGAAGACTTACCAGATCCAAGAGCCTGAACTTTCAGAGAAGGCGATTCCTTTAGTTGGTTCCTGTAGTTAATGTTTCACCATACAAAGGAGATGTTCCGATGACAAGAATTGGAGCAGGTCAGAAGACAATCCCTTGAATGCTTTGGCTGGCTGCTTAGGGACTATGGCTACATTCCTTCCAACAGTTTGGAAAACACCTGTTACACTTGGGCAACCTTCTGTGGTTTGTTTTCCTCACCCCCTGCTCAAAAAAACCAGCGCTGTATTCATGAGGCTTTACTCACATAACAGGCTGATTCTACTGCAGAGGCATCTCTCAAGTACACAGGTTCCTCTACATTCATCTTTATTCTGTTTCTGTTCCGTGTCCCTTATTTCAGAGCACTCTCCAGGGACTTCAGAAAATAATTGAATTAACTCATAGTATAAAGGTAGCGAGCTACTAGCAGGTTACTACAGGAAGTAACTGCTGAGGGACAACTCAGAAATTGCAAGAAATTTGTAAGAAACAAGAATAAGGCAAGCCTTAAGGCTGATCCTTGCCTGCACTGTAGGGGCTACTGTCCAGCAGAAGAGCAAAGGCAGATTGCAGCAGGTAAATGTTTACAGAGCTGCTCAGAATAGAGCAGCTACCATGAAAGATTTGAGTGAGATGCGTTTGAATACAGAAAATTGTGTTCTGCAAATGGTAAATTATTTCCAAAGGTACTTGCAACAGGGGAAAAGTGAAGAAATCTGGGAAAATTAGGAATCGATCCTATATTTTGATATTGGCATTTCATTTTAAAAGGAATTAAAGAACAACAAAAAAGTAGTAGTATGTTTAAACTGATTTTCTTACATGTGTACAGAATACTGAACAACCTCCCCTCCCCTTTTCTCCAGAGGGAAAGCATCTGTCTCACAGACCTTTTAGCCAATCAAAACAGTATTTTTCAGGAATAAAAAATGTAGCATAGAGCCTTGAAATTATGGGACACTAGTTTTTTAATGTAGGTTTTAATTTGTAAGAGAATAGTAATTTAATAATAATATTAATAATTGCTAGTTATCTAATTCCACTTTTGATCAATACACTTGTTTTTAAATACAAGAATCCTGCTGGAACTTCATGTTGAACTGGCAAACTTCTGCTCCCAGATAGCACAGTTTCTTATGAAAACATTTCAGAAGAGTTTCCTGCCTTTTGAGGTACTTCTGACCATGGTGTAACTCTTTCATGCATGCAGAGCTTTAGAGCTGCTACTGGCTACAAACATGGAATAAAAGTGAGATTTAAAAAAAAAAGTTCTGTCAACTAAGAGCTCAACACTGCGTTTTACTGTGGCCCAAATCTCTAAGCTGAGTTTTGGTGCTCGGGGGAGGCATTTCTGTTAATGATTCCGTTTAATAACTGCAAGTTCTCAACAATAGTAATGTCTGGGAAAAAACCCAACCAAACAAACAAAAAACCCGCAACCAAAAACACACTCAAAAGCTTCTCTGCAGTGCAGTAAAAGGACATGTTAAAGAACGGGGCAGACAGAGACTTCAGATAAAGCAGAATGGAATTTTCAATAGTCACATGTGACAGAAATTTTCATTTGAAATCTCCTGTGAAAGACCCATGTGCTCAGCTGTGGGCAGCTGGGCTTATTAAAACAGAGTACTGCAGAGAGCTGAATGACCCAGCTAGGAACAAACCCAGAAAATCTCAAACTTCAGGCCACCTCCCCGGGTGACTTTAGGTCATTTTCCAAAAAGACAATCAGTGCAATATATTAAGTAATGACATTAGAATCTGCCCCTTGGTCTTAGGTATTTAATTGCAAACATTACTTCAAGGTCTAGGCAAGAAGGAAATAATGGAGCATTCTTCACCAGGAACAAGGAGGTGAGATGTGAAACAAGCAAAGCTAATGGTGAACAGCCCCGTCCGTGGTTGTGATGTACTGAACTAAACTCACTGACGTCACCCCCCTGGGCATTTATGTTACTCTGTTAAGATGCGAGCCAGGGGCTGAGCCTCTCCACAGCGCACAGTCTCGCTGCTGTGACAGGATGCTATTCTCTACCTTCTGAGTAACTGTTTGTGACTTCTACAATTGCTGGTTCTGCCCCACTGGCTAGTTCAGCATTGCTTCTGACAGTGCAAGCAACATAAATGGTTGCAATAGCAGGCAAAGGAGCTGGCCTTCATTTGATACTGTATTTTATTACCAAGAACAACATTCAACAGAACAGAAACTATTTTTCCCTGCATTTAAAGAAAGGGGCTTAAACCAAGTCTTAAAATTTCAATCCCTTTTAATTTATTTTTTTTCTGATTCATACACCTAATTCTACTCCCAGTTTCCTAGCTTTTAGTTTGTATGTCAAGCCCTTGAAAAAGAAGACATTTTCTCTCTCATTCAAAGCAAACCTGGAATTAATGTAATTATAAATGGGTTTTGCTGCAGTCCTGTTAAAAATTTAAAACAAAACAAAACAAAAACCCCAACAAAATCAAACAAACAAAACCCAAAACAAAACACAACACCCCACACACAGGAGAAATGAAGCAGACCCTTCATCTCTGCTCTGCAAACAGCAAAGAAAGTGTTCTGAAGTCTCACAAAACCCAATTGTCATAATTTAAACCTGAGCCTAAATGAATCTTCAAACTTAAAATTGAACCTAAATCTTACTGGCTATTTCCTTGCTCTGTTTGTAGCTGTAAATGACCCTGAACTGATTTTCTAGTAAAGAGATTAGAGGAAATCTGAAGAAAGGTTTTAAGCAAGCCAGGAGCAGCAAGAAGAGTTTTCCATCACAGACTGACTCCTGCTTCAACTGTGCAAGAAAATGAAAATATAAATAGAAGTAAATATTTCAAACAAGTTTTATTTGGTTCTTACATACTATATGTAGGTTTAAAGAAAAACTACATATTTTGGACACTTCAAAATATTGTGGCTATGTACATGGAAAACTAAAGAAAGCAAGAAAGGAACCCAATTCATTTCACTGTGTCACAACCTGCTGTTGAAAGCATTCTGACTGAATGGCTGTTTTTCCCCTTCCATAGGTATTCGGGCAGATGAAGTCTCTTTTTCCTTGCATTTCCATTGCTTTTATCCCATCTCCTGTATAAGGTGAACACTTGGCAGCATCAGAAAGCAATTTCTTCAAAAACTCTTCAGCTTTTCCCTCAGAGGATTTCTTCTGCTAGCACAGAGTTTCTGCACAGCTGCCTACAGGCCCAGCTCAGTGCTCACTAAAGGCAAGGGCAGGAATCTTAATGGTACCTTCTTTGGCAGCTTGAACTGACACCCCATAAACCTCCATTTCCCCTAGCCAAGGATCCTCTCACTGACTTCAGTGAGCAACGCATCAAGCCCTGGTTGGTGCTTCAAACTTAAATACCTAGAGTGAGCTCTACCTTAACAGCATCGTTTATCAAAGCACAAAAAGGTGCAAGATTTTACAGTTCTGCCCAATAGCAACCCAAAGTGACGGATGGAACAATGACAGTAGAAATCAGCATCAAAATAAAGAGAAAGCAACCTGCATTGCTCCTCTTATCACTCAAACTGTACTGCGTTATAAAAATCACACACTACATAAAAAGCACAAACAAGGAGCATTTTCCATTTGCTCTGAAACGAGCAAAACAAACAAAAAAAGCCCACCCTGCTTCATCATCCAAAAATCAAATATTTCACATTTCACAGAGCCTTCAACAATCTGATAAGGCAAAGGAAAAGTCTTCCACCATCGGGAGCAGCAGCAATTTACAGGACTCAGAACAAGGTATTTCCTTATGTGTGTGCACACATGTGTGCATGTCTGTGTACACATCTTTATAGTATTGCAAAAGTGGATGGAGGTAAAAAAAAGAAAAAATCAAGTTTGCAGTATTATTTTACCACATTTTTCTAATTTATTCAATTAAACAATTTATTTATGTACTGAACAAAATTCATAAATACATAATCTAGGAGAACAATAGGTTTTCCTCTTGTCCATGAAAAAATAACGCTTTCAAATTTTCACATTTTAAAACCTGCCGTGTTTTGTGTTTTTAGAGAAAATGTGAGAAGATCATAGTGACGTCTCAATTTACAGAATGTCCCTGTAGGAATTACATTTACAAGAACCTGATACAGAAGCCTATACTTTGCCCCCATAATTAGAGTTCTCTGCAATAATATTTAAACCAACAGGTTTAAATAAAACACCCCATTAACTCTACTTGTAGAGCGATGAGGTATTTATTTTTCAAGTATTAGAACCATAAAGTGTAAAAGATTCTTTGCCAATTTTACAATTATGCCCTTTAAACCAACACCCACCTTTTTAAAAAAAGAATCAGTCCCACCACCCAAATCAGCCCATTGCTTTCAGATTCCAGTGTCTTGTGTCTTAAGGAATGCAGAAATATCCATTTACTAACAGAAAAAGCTTGTTGGAAAAGCCATATTAAGTAACGCATGTGAAGCATGATTTTTCTAGTGATGAAAGATATTAGAAAGGTGATCCAAGTCTATTCCCATCATTTCTTCTGCTGGTTTTACTAAAGTCCTTCCAAAATAGATATTCAAGAAATCTTTTAAAAAAAACTGGAGAGAAAAAATAAAATATGCCTTCATAGCATGGAAGAAACTCCACTGACTGCAGAGATGCTCATATCACCTTTGGTTCTTCAGAAGAAACAATCAGATCACTTCTACAACAGAAGGTATCAAAAATGACAGGTCAGCAAAGAGGGACAATGCTTACTTCAAAATGCTAGGCATTTATGCAATTGTTCTATTGTAAGATGATTTTCCTTATATTTTCTAGCCATAGAAAAAGAAAATGGTAGTCCAATTTAATTTGCTAAATTAGTATTTGTTTATTTAACATCCTTTAAAAGTTGTGATGTAATTCAGAAAAAAGTCTAGTGTGCTGCAAACCATCCCTCAGTATTGATGTCAGCAAGAACTTGATGAGGGAAGCACATCCAGAATTTTACGTAGAAGGTAGGTACGGGCTCCCCTTCTGCAGAAGCGTATCAGATATAACACCTGCAGAACTGGAACAGGATTGCTGATAAGCTGGGAACAGCAGTTGTCACTGTTACTGTTCTGTTTGAAAGCCCAGGGCAAACATTTTCCAGCAACTTCAAATGGCAGAAAGCTCAGTGTCACCGAGAACTCCCCCTCAAACAAAAGGTAAGGCCTCACCATAGTTTGCACCGCAACTGTATGTCCTTAGCATGCGTGGCTTTACAAAGAGGAGATACGCTCCTTTCCCCAAATGATAGGGGGGTTAAGAATGCTTAATTAATCCATTTATATCAATTAAGAGCTCTAGGTCCTCTGTCAATTACAACACATTACAAGTGTTAATGAACCGAGGCAAACCCACCTGCTGTTTGATGTGTTTGAACACTATCTACCTGAGGCAAGAGAGTCCCCTTATCTTCAAAAGCTAGAATTGGATTCAAAGGAATTTCGGGACTGTTGCTTCCATCATTGTTCATGGCATCCAGCCGGGATGGTTTGGAACCAATAGGCAGGTTTATGATCTCTTCGAAGTTATCATTCTGCATAGACATTCCATTTTCATTTGCATTTTTCTCTGGGTTGAGATTGCTGAAAGAGAAACGTAGATATTTCCTCATACACTTCATCCAGAACAGAAATGTAGTCCTGCTCAAAGCAATATTGCAAATGGAAGAAGAGTCTGCATTAATCCAGAGCAGTCTTTTAGTCAGTAAGAACAAAACTATGCTTCTACCACAGGAGAAAAACTGGTTTTGCAGCCAAGCACTAGATACGCCTTCCCTCACACGCAGGATAGTTGTGACACTTGGCTACACAATACCCAGAATTATAGAGGGCTTCAGGGACACTGCAGTTCTGACCACTGACCACAACGGGAAGTGGCAAGCCCCTGCAGCACCACCACTGCTATCTTGAGCCACCCACCCAATGCAATTTACAGCCTTCCAAGATATTTTTCAGCTCTTGTAACCTTTGACATACCCTTCCTCTTAGTGCAAATCAATGTAGTTGCCCTGAGATAAGATCACTATCATTTTGGTTATTCCTCAGATCACCTTCTGCCTCCAGTTCTAGAGCAGCCTCTCCTACCTGCCGCTCAGCCAGAGAAAAAAGTCCCTCACCAATGTAGTTCTCCTTTCAGTCCCTCCTCCCCTAGAAGTTCCTAGAGATTGTTTCCAAGGTGACACCCAACTTTGCACTCCTGTTGATTATGCCCAAGCCAAAAGAAACACCTCCCAGCATTTCTCATGTCAATCTGCATTTTCTTTTTCCATCTCTCACTTGACAGAGATGCCTTATGAGCAAGCTCTTGTACATCTCCCCCAGTCAGGAGCGGTATGAGCAGAGACACACTCTCCAATTACACTCAGTCTCCTGAGAAGACACATGATGGTGTCTGACAGTCTGGCCCCTCCCCTCCCAACCCTTTTATTAGGCCCCATCTTGTCAGATTCTGCTGTCCTGGAGACAGCATGCGCTGTCTTGCCAGAGGGGAGAAACTAGGGTGCTACTTTAGTGCACAGGATGACAGTAATGGGACCATAACCTGCTGGAGAAAGAGCAAGTACTCAACTAGCACTCAAAAATCACATGATCTTTCACAGGTGCTTCTTAAGGCCCTCAACAGTTAGATCCTGACAATCTTAGGTACGTGTTCCCTATTTAGACCACATCAAGACTCTTCAGGCTGTTTGGAAATACCACAGCCACAAAGGCTCAGATGCAATTTTCCTAGATTTAAACTAGGCTACCAATTTCCTCAGGCCATTTCTGAGCAGGTGGCTTGGTTTCATAGGCTGATTTACTCCTGACAGTACATTTACTAGTCTTAAAGAAAAAAAAAATGGGGGGGAGACACACAAAAAACCCCACAAAAACAAACAAGAAAACCAAACCCCAAACCTGCTTGTAATTGGCATATAGTTTATTTCCATTTGCTGGCATCTTTGGGTGCCCAACTCTTCACAAACAATTACAGAATTGTTTTACAGGACTTCCCAAGAGACAGAGAATAATTACTGCTCTTTTCAAAGTACCAACACTTTATCCAAAGCCCAGATTTCCTGTGAGAATGACATGCTGGTTTTCATATCAAGCCTTTCCAGTTTTTCAAACTATCACCAGTCCTTTTTCAGAAAGGCATTCCCCTTTTTTTCATCTGTGGATATGCTGAGTGAATTTCAAAGTGAAAAGTATGTTTCACTGCACTGAGTTTGAGAGCAGACACAGAAACCCTCTGGCTGCCTGGGAGAGGTCACAAGTCACATCAGCCTTTTTTGCCAGAGATCCACATCTGGAAGATGAGGAGCAGAACGTGTGAAACACTTTAGGACTAATAAAACCTGCTCTATAGTGTATAGTTATTAGGTTGTGACTCACTATAAGGTATCCTATTACTTATTTCATCCCTGTCTACTACCAATAACCGTACCAGAACTAGGATAACACGGCAAGTTTGATGGATGGAGTAAGAAAGAAGGAGAAAGAGAGCAACTACTCATTCATATAAATTAAACAGCACAGTACTTCAACAAGCATTGGCACAATGGAGCTGACTCCTGCTTCTGCAAACAGGTATTGATGTTTCTCTCTGATTGATCAGCTGACTTCATAGACAAAAGTTCTTCAATTTATTTGTCATTGCACTGCCAGTATTACATACCAAGTTAGACCAGGATTCAGAGACTTGAGAGATGTTGGTTCAGACAGGGGAGTCTATACAATTACGAAGCGGGTACAGAACAGGAAATCGTGACTATGAATCTTCTGTATTTTATGCTGTAAAATCTTCTATATTTGATGCTATTTACCCCACCAGATTACTAGAGGAGCAAGTTTAGAAGAAACAAGGGGACAAACAGAACTGGGGAATTAATTCTACTTGACAGCTTAGAGGCCATAAGCTCAAAAGAGCTCCAAAGGAGATTAGACAAATTCCTAGGAGATTGGTATAGCCTCCAGCTTCTGGTAATTAGCAGCTTAGGGACTACTTGGCCTATGGTTGCATTTGGACCACAATGCTCAGTAACCTTCATTGAGCAGAGGATCCCCTGGTGCTCACCTTTTTTCCTTTACACTCCTTAAGTGCCTGCTACAGGCAATTAAAGCAGAGGACACAAAAAAGTAAAGCATTTTTTACCCGCTACAGCTGTTCCATCTTACACAACATTCTTAGTGATATCTCAGTGTCCAGCACACTGGAGATACCCTTTTCAGGCACACAATATTGCAGGTATATTTCTAAGCACTGGACAACTTTGGCATTGTAACATACACCTTAAGTGTGCCTGTAGCGTGACACCTACGTCATTAAAAAAAAAAGTTGCCCAAGTTATTGAGAGTGCATTTCCAAACAGAACAGTCTTGCAAGCATCTGAAGGACAGATTTGCAGCAGCTGACAAAAAAACCCCCACAAAACAAAACAAAAAACCCCCCAAAACCAAACATCTGTGCAGCTTTGCATTTTGAACTGGATACATCAGTATTAACAAGGTTAATGCTGATGCTGGTTAATACCTCAGTATTAACAAGATTATTAACAAGGTAATGGGTCCCGTACCTGGGTCACAACAACCCCAGGCAACACTACAGGCTTGGGGGGGAGCGGCTGAAAAGCTGCCCAGTGGAAAAGGACCTGGGGGTGCTGGTTGGCAGGTGGCTGAACATGAGCCAGCAGTGTGCCAAGGTGGCCAAGAAGGCCAATGGCATCCTGGCCTGGATCAGAAACAGTGTGGCCAGCAGGAGTAGGGAAGTGCTTGTCCCCCTGTACTGGGCACTGGTGAGGCTGCACCTCCAGTCCTGTGTTCAGTTTTGGGCCCCTCACTACAAGAAGGACATGGAGCTGCTGGAGCGTGTGCAAAGAAGGGTAACGAAGCTGGTGAAGGGCCTGGAGCACAAGTCTGATGAGGAGCAGCTGCAGCTGAGGGAACTGGGGTTGTTTAGCCTGGAGAAAAGGAGGCTGAGGGGAGACCTTATCACTGTCTACAACTACCTGAAAGGAGGTTGTAGCCAGGTGGGTGCTGGTCTCTTCTCCCAAGTAACAAGTGATAAGACAAGAGGAAACAGCCTCAAGTTGTGTCAGGAAGGTTTAGATTGGGTATTAGGAAATATTTCTTCACTAAAAGGGTTATCAAACGTCAGAACAGGCTGCCCAGGGAAGTGGTTGAATCACCATCCCTAGAGATAAATTTTAAGAGGCATGTAGATGTGGTGCCTAGGGACATAGCTTCGTGGTGGGCTTGGCAGTGTTTAGCTAATGGCTGGACCCAATGATCTTTAAGGTGTTCTCCAACCTAAACGATTCTATGATTCTAAGACAGACTAAAGGAAATTGAGAGAAGAGCAACTAGTTTAATTAAAGGAACTGGAACTTCAAAAAAAGCTTAAAACTTCTAAAAGTGACAACTGATGTAGATAATTTTAGCCAACGCTCTGTGTGGACGTAATCTATACATAAAGAATTTGAACAGAGTAAAGAAAAAAGACTTAAATTTCACAATTTAGTATATGTCTGTCTTTCTCATCACTCATCTGAAATCAACACTGAAAAAGAAAACTAAATAATCATAGAATCATAGAATCATAGAATAGATTGGGTTGGAAAAGACCTCCAAGATCATCAAGTCCAACCCCTGATCCAACTCCAATTACTATATCATGGCACTAAGGGCCACGTCCAATCTCTTTTTAAAAACCTCCAGGGATGGTGAATCCACCACCTCTCTGGGCAGGCCGTTCCAGTGCCTGATTACCCTCTCTGTAAAGAATTTCTTCCTAACATCTAACCTAAACCTCCCCTGGCAGAGCTTGAGCCCATGCCCCCTTGTCCAATGATCTGCAAGCCTTTGGAATGCCAAAATAATTCCACACCTGCTATTCCTGATCTGAAAGACAATGTCGGTCATCTCATTTATCGACATGATTTTAGCAGAGATGTCACAGATAGACATTAACAGCAAAACAGACCCCAGACTTCTGGATTATTTAAATAAAGCAGTGTTTATATTTAATCCAATGAGACAACAGCACTGAAATCAGCCAGCAATAAGGAGCTGGAGGCCTAAAGAAGGGAAGGTGGTGCGAAAGCAAATTTCAAGTGTGTTATCCTACAAACTGAGCAATGAACACTACATCAGAATTTGGACTTGGTACCATTCTTTTCCAGGGACAAGATATTGAGGCAATCACCTTGTCTAACTGTATATTTCTAAAAACTGGTTATCTAATCTACCCAGACCCAGCTCCCTTTATATGGGATGAAGACACACAGATGGAGTGAAATGCTCTCACTGAGGCCCACTGCAGGCATCTATAGCAAGCAGCACAGGAGAAAAAAGAAATGGAATTACAGGATAAGAATAAGTATCATAATGAAAATAGCATCAACATAAACCACTGTACTGGAGTAACTTTCTGAGAAGTAGCAGACAGGATCTACCTTGGGTAAAGAATTAGAAAGCTGAGAAGAAGCAGTAATCTGCAAGTAGGAGGTGGATTAGGCAGTTGTACTGGTTAGCCAACTCCAGTTACTACCATTGTGTTCTTTCCAGGACTCTACTGTTCAGTAAAGCAAAACAAAACAAAACAAACAAAAACCCCCCCCAACACCCCCAAAAAAACCAAACAGAAAAGCACCCAGAAAAAAATCTTGTTGTAATGTTTTACAATTTTCAAAAAGTTTGAAAATACTTTAACATTATATCTTATTTTAAAATGATTGTTACGAGTTTATTTTTCCAATGGGGGGGAAACAAAAACCCAAACCCCAGAATCTAGCCAGAAGTTAACGTGCCATTAATAATGTTGTAGCATCTGTGAACTACCAGTTTTCTTGGTAATTCTAATATTCTACTAACTGGAAAATTTCCACAGTACACTCAATTTTAAAATATATTTAGTGTTGCCCTTTCCATCGTACTACACCTGGATGAGAAATATCTTCATTTAAGTTCAACTGTGAGTCTTCTCACCACAGACTTACAGGTCAGATACAAGGTCACTCCCTGCCCCCCCATAATAATTCACTGTTCTTCATTAGTATTAGAGCATTACATTGTTTAACACAGTTTATTTGTGGAGAAGTAGATGGCAAAATCAGAACCCTTGCAGCACCACTTAAAACTAGATGCCACAAAAATCATGTTCAGACATGTCATTTTAACTCAAACAACTATGAAAGTAGAAATTGTTTCTCTGAACCAAGAATTAATTTATGATCTATTTGAAAACCCTGGGTGCTAACATGGTAAAACAGCTCCATTTACAAGCAAATATATCTGTTTTTTTCTTTCAAAATGCACAGTGAAGAAGCTTTAAGCTTAAGGAAAAGTGATTTATGTTCATTTGTTTAAAACACAGGAGTAGGAATACCAATAAAAATTTTGACAGACTATTAGGCAGCATAGATAATTGCGCTGATTTATCATCTGCAATAAATGCTTATTAATAAAACTAATAATTGTTGACAATAGGTATATGATAAATAATGCAGCAGATGACAGCATTTTCATTAGGGTTTATGAAGATCAATTGTCTTGGAAAGCTAATGAAGTCCCAGTACAAGATCTGCATTGCTGATCAAAAGCAGCAACAGAGAATGGTGAAGTATTGAAATAAATTGCCTTCACTCCACTAGAATTCTTTTAATTTTTCTCAGTTGCATTGTACTGGTGACCTTAGAAGCCAGCAGGCTCTTTCCAGCTGAATCCCAGCCACAGAGCTGACATGGGACGGATGGCATGATGGGGAAGAACAGGGATGAAGGTTCAGCACAGTAAGCACTCAGGCAACTTCCTGTTATGCCCCAGAGTAGAACTCCTTGTCCCCACACAAACCTCCAGTAGGTTTCCAAGTCACCCTCTTCCACACTACTGGTGCAAAGGACAGAGCACCTGCAGTGTCTGGGGAGTGACCCCACCTACAGGTATTCTGGTCCCAAATGCAGGTATCTTGGGTTTGGTCACTGAACACCAACCGCCAGTCCTGTTCAAAGACAGGCATTCAGCCTGTGCAAAATAGACCCACCAACACTGCTTCTGAACTAGACCCAGTGAAACTTCCCACCCTTCCCACGCTGTAGGAGGAGAATGAGACTGACTTGCTCTGGGCCTCAAGAAGACTCTGCTCTTTCACTCCCTGCTCTAGCTCATACAAGCACATTCAATGAGTGCCCCAGGCAAATCCTTTTTAAGTCCTGGTCAGAAATCTGAGCTATCTTGTCCTTTAAACATGCTCAGCCAAATCTTGGGACTGGAGTGAGGTGCCCACACAAGAGACCATCTCCACCTATTGCTGTTGTGTGTACTACAGTATCAGACATATCTAGATGCCAGACAACCGCAGCACAAGATGCAGTAGCAGTGGTGTTGGCACCTGTAAGTGATAAAATCTATGCTGCTACATATTCCTCACAGCAGTTTTTCAGGCTACTTGGACTAAGCTTACACTGGGATGCTACCAAGCACCTTTGCCTTCCCAGTCAGTGTGGATGCACCTCCAAAGTTCCCTCCACACCCTGACCCTGCACACCAGTTTCCCCTTCCACAGCCTTATACACACTTCTTACTTTTGTCGCTGTTCTTCTACCTCATTTATTCATTCTTCACTTTGACCATTCTGAGGTTCCTTCCACATGGATTATAACGCTACATGACAGCGTTCATTAGAGTGGCACATTTTATATTACAAACATCAAGGTGCATATAAGGCTGGGAGTGATTAACATTTAATAGCTGACCGAGACAATTATGAGGCAGCACTGTGCAGCTCATCCAGTACAGTTCAGTGCTCAGTGTCACTAAGGGAACTTCTCTCAGCAGGAGCTTCCTTGTCAGCATGACAGCAGGCTAAGATCCCCAGCAATATGGAGGGACCAAGAGGGCAAATTCCTCCTTCAATTAGTGCCAATCACACCCTGAAGCACACTGCCCATTACAGGCTTCATGATGGCTTCCCACATTCAAGTTTTTCCATGCATATTCTGGCAGTACCTGCATAAAACATGAAAGGACTAAGGGATTATTTGGCTTTCTGCATTACTAAAATTGAAATAACTGACAGGTCATGCTTATGTAACAGATTCCATTTGGTTCAACATCAAGGTTTCAAGCACTTCAATGTCTCAAAATTGGAGTGACTTGCTTCATTGCTACAGAGAGCTCCCCATGTTAATTATCTGCCTCCCCAAACTCTCCTTTTAGAGACAAAGGGGTTTTCTAAAATATAAAGCCAAAATAAATAACTCTATTTCATATGAGGGACTATTGCTTAGTAATCAAAATTTGCTAATACTTCAAGCAGTTCAGAAACTGAAACATCTAGGCTGAAAGCACACTCTTTGTTATTCCAGTTAGGAAAACTAGTACTACGAATCCAGAGTGGTTTTTATGAAGCTTAATTAGTAGAAAGGAAAAGAAAAAAATATGTCCTTTCCACTAACTTTCAATTTATGTAGTAATTGTTGGCAAACAAGATGTTGTTTCAAACACTGCAAAGAACATGCTGGATTTTAACAAAATTCTTCCCCATCAGTTGGCAAAAATGGGTTACTGCTAAGTGAAAGATGATGAAGTTCTTTTCTGAACGCTGGAAAAGAGAAAAATAAACAGGAAACAAGGCAGATTGAACAGCTGTCTCATTTAAGTTAGTGAATACAAGGAACTGAGAAAATAATTTATTACTCTAGTAACCCTCATCCTCTAAACACCCTCCAATACTTGGCAGTGTTCTTACCTGTCCATATTTATGGGGGGTTGATGCGAAACAATCACACGCGAGCAGGTGATGGGCTTCCCGTTGTGCGGAGATTGTGTTGCATGTTGAAGCTGAGGTCCTCCTGCAGGTTCCAAGGGAGATGCAGGGCTGGTTATGACTAGAGAGAGAAAACAGGTTTTCATAAAACCAAGCAGCATCATCTACCTGCAGATTAAAGTAAAACCTTTCCTACAAAAGGCAGTACAGTCAAGGCAAGCTACAATTTTAAAAAATAGAGTTCCCACACCCCTCCATTCCACACCTTGTCTCCTTTGTCAAATTTCTGGGCACACAAGCTCTGTTTCAGGTCTGAAGTAAATGCCACAGATTTCAAATTTATAGTTTTATGGACAAGAAAAAACATTTTACAATGGTATACACACTTCCAGCACATAAGCCAGTGGTCAAAACAGGCTGATATCTGATGTAATATTGTGCTGGCACTTTTCAAGCAGCAATAGAGAATGGAATAGAACACCGGGACATCATCAAATCCATACACTGGTATTTCTTGGTTCCTGTGTTGATCACTGACTATAACCCAAAAGGAAATCAGGAGAAAAAATCTCCATGGGAAGGATACTTCTTTCAACAAGTACCAAATCACTACTATTAAATGCTATAGAGAGCAGCACAAAATCAGTGTTCTTATGCCTCACCCAAAGACCATATGACAGATGTTACTGGCCTGACTCAGAATGTTCTTTTAAAGTACAACTACAGCCTTCTGCCTTGTATCTACAGCCACACTAACTCACAGCTCAGGAAGCAATCTCACCCCACCCATACTAGCATCTGTTACCATAATCACAAGAACCCTTTAGTACTGATAGGCTTGGACACATATACCTTCATTACCCAAAACCTCATCTGAGGAGACCTTCCTTCAGCTGCTCTTGTTCTGCTATGCTTTAAGTGCTTGGGCTCAAGTCTTTTACACCAAGTGTCTTGGTCTGATCTTTGGCAAGTTTTTACCCGAAAGATATTAGCAAGACAGGTTTCAGTGCTTCTACAAGCAGAACAAGAGGAAAATACGCTGGCTGTAACTCCATAGCACATCTAGATAAAGCAGAGCTGAACAGTAGAGTAGCCCTGAGGGTGAGGGCTATTTTCTCTTTGTCCAGTCACTCAAAGACTCCAACTTTCCCTTGGGCCCAGGGAAATGGAGGTCCAAAGTCTTGCGTGCCTGAGGAAACTGACTACTTGTCTTGTAACTCAGGCAGGAAAGTATCAGCCACAGGTTATAAAGCCATTTATAATTTCAAGAATTAAGTGGTTTACGGCACCTTCAACAATGCCTGCAGCAAAAAAAAGACATCCTAGATGCATTCTGTATTAGTAATTCCCAAAGTTTCCCCACCCCC